CTTACTGTGCTGTGCCAATGTGTCAGTGATTTTTTTTCAACAGACTTCTGTTCAACTTCCTATGAGCCAGTCATTATGTCATCAGAGTAATTAGGCGGAGCATTCTGTGTTAAATGCAGGTTCCTAGGGGAAGCATTAGGCCATTGATTTCCTGCGGAGGAAACATTTCAGTTTTATTTCCAGCAATGTTCAGACTTCTCCATGCAGCCACCCACTCTGTCTGCCCGCTTCTCTTCCCAAGTGGGAGAAAGCCAGCTCTCGTCACCAAATTCTGGCTAGAGGCTAAGGCAGGGGCAGGCAACTGTGGCCTCTTTACAACCTGTGGACTTCTACTCCCAGAATTCCACTCCCAAGCTGGCTCAGGAATTCCGGGAGTTGAAGTCCACAGGTTTGTCAAGGGGTCATAGTTGCCCTCCCCAGGCTGGGGTATTAAAGACAAGATTACTTGGTCTGGATTGCAAAACCTCTGTGTACCACTAGATGGCAACAAGGAGCTGATGTTCTGCATCATTGATAGGGAAGAGGAAGGGCAAAAATAGGCCACCAAAATGAAAAAGAAGGTTTGAAAGACCTGGGAATGTTTGGCTTGTAGAAGGGACTGTTGTGAGGGGATATGAGAACTGTCTTCAAATACCTGAAGGGCTTCATATTGCAGTAGGTTTGGATTTGCTCCAGGTGGTAAAACTAGAAAAAATACTTTAGGATGAAACTTCGGGATTCAATTTTTTTTTACTATCGGTTCTGTGGGCATGGCATGGCGTGGCTTGGTGGGCGTGGCAGGGGAAGGTTACTGCAAAATCCCCATTCCCTCCCCACCCCGCTAACCTGCTTTCCAGCTCCCTTCTCCTGTGTAGGGCAATAAGACCCAACCTGAGACTCAATGGGAGGCCGAGAATAGATGGGGGCAGAGGTGGGATTTGCTGGTTCTCCGAAAAACTCAAAAATTTCCGTTACCGGTTCTCCAGAACTGATCAGAACCTGCTGAATACCACCTCTGATACTGATCAGATGCAAAGGAGAACTTCTTGACTATCCATCATGGTTTCTTCTACTTCGCTGGAGGTTTTTAGAAGCTGGATAATCACCCATGGAGATGGTGTGGTGAATCCTGCAGTGTGCAAGGAGTTAGACTTCATGACCTCTACGGTCCCTTCCAACTTTATGATATCTACTGATCATTTGAATTTTTGCAGCCCAGATCTGGCAGTCATCATGAAGGTGTTTTATTTCTTGTCAGGCCTGCAGATACTGATGTCCTTACACCAAAACTTTGAAATTCTAATTTAAATGTACTGGCTTTGTTTATACATTACAATAATTTTAAAAAATGTGGCTCGTTTGATTTTTAACTCAAATATTCATTGAGGTTTATGGACTTTAATCTATGGCTTATATTGTACTGAGCTAGTTAGCCAATTGCAGATTGATAACGTTTAAATAATAGATAAAACTAGGCTTAATGCAGTCTGTAAGTCCAGTCATCTGACAACATAATTTTGAGTCATTCAACAGCCATAACTGCATGCTGCATTTGTTGAAAAATCTGGATTACATTAAAATGCAGCTAAGCAATTTGTGATTCAGCATGTTGTGGGAATTTAGTCTTTTTTTTTTGAGGTGGGGGGGGAGTTGTATAGATTGAGTTATGGTTTCTTTATTTGAGCCCAGCATGAAAACAATTATTGTTTATTCAACTGGGCCGTAGGTTTGGTATGCTGTGGAAAACCAGCTTGTGTGTGTGTGTGTGTGTGTGTGTTTGTGTACAGTGAGCTACAAGGCAAATGTAAGCTCTTGTGTGAGCTTTGTAACCCAAAAGTCCAAATGTACATCACCACTTGGCCCGATTGTAATATTTAAAATCTATCTGCAGCTTTCTAATAAACCTCTACGTTTTCTTCTGCTGCTTTCTCTGCCTTACAACTTAAATACATGCGATGTTTTAGGTTGGCTACATTTTCTATTTTGTGTGTGTGTGTGTGTGTGTGTGTGATTTCGTGTCCAGAGACCTAGCGCAAATTGAAACCTACTGTATCTTGTCTCCAGCAGGATCTAAGTTTCCATGCAGTCTTAGGTCTACCGAGAAGTAGCCCCGATTGAATTCAATTATAGATTTACTTGGAGATTAATAGGCACAACATTGCAGCCTGACACCATCTGTTTCATGTCTCTGGATGACCAGGAAGCAGAGTTTCTAGATTTTGCCCTTGGAATTTCAGCTTGGCTTCACTCAATCTCCCTTTCATTTATCCAGTCCAAAAAAACACGCACCAAGGAACATCCTGTTCCCTAGTAATCTGCAAGCTTTCTTGCTAAGACCTTTTAAATCAGGCGTGTCCAACCTTTTGCCTTGCCTGGGCAGCACTGAGTGAAGAGGAATTGTCTTGGGCCGCATATAAATATATATATATATAATCCAGTTTAATGCATTTAAATGCACATAATGTTAACAGTTTATGATCTTGCTAGGATGTCATTATTAGCTGTCCAGGGCTGCAGGCGGCCTGTTCATGCTTTGGCCTGAATTGGAGCCCTTGGTCTATAGGGACTCCTCCATTTACAACTACAACTGAGCACAAAATTTCAATTGCTAAGCAAGATGGATGTTGGTGAATTTTACCTTGTTTTACAACCGTTCTTGCCACCGTTGTTAAATGAATCACTGCGCTTCTTAAATTAGTAACATGGTTAAGTGAATTTGGCTTCCCCATTGATCCGGGGACACTGCAACAGTCAAGCATCTGAATGTAAATCACTTGACCATGGGGATGATGCTCCAATGGTCGTAAGTGTGAAAAATGGTCCTAAGACACTCTTTTCAGTGCCCTAACTTCAAATGGTCACTAAAAATGGTGGTAAGTTGAGAGTTATTTGTATACATAAGCTTCCCATGTGAGAGCCAAACTTGTTTTTATTTAGAATTTATTTTATTTAGGATGTAGAATCTGTTTCAAATAGGCTATTCAAATATTTGCTGTACATCCACGGTCTTTCCACACTTGTCCCAGTCTTACACTGGGAGGCTGAAATTTAAGGTTCAGAGAAACTGTATGTCCCAGGCACCCAGCCACCTTCCATAGCTACAAGAGGACTGGGAGAATTCGGGTGGACATCTCCACCGCACAACATAAACCAAAGAAGGTTTGTCCTGGAAGATTCTCGTTCATCCAGGTAAGAGTGGCTGAAAGTTGAGTCATGGCCACACAACTTCTTGCCATCATGGGTTTAGGGGGACCCCATTTTTGGCTTCCAGGGTAGTTTCATTTCTCACCTCACCTGAATAGGCTCCTTTGGTGAATAGGCACAGAGTCGTTAAAGAGTTGTGGCTCCTAAATTCTTCTCTTAGGTGGGACCCTAAACGTGACCTCCCTAGTGAACTCGTGAGGCAGCCTCGGACTTCCTGGAGACCGATGCAAGAACATCATGTGAAAATGAAACCGCCCTGGAGGACCTATGAATGGGCTTCCTCCCTAACCAAATTGCTCAGATCAAAGAAACGATTTGGAAAAGCAGCGAAACGTTTCCAACTGAGAAAGGCGACGTCCAGTTGTCATGTCTGAAGTTGCAGACGCACCAGTTCTTGCAGGACAAGAAACAACGGAAGTTTCCTTGTTCAAAGAGAGAAGCAACCTGGAATTAAGGAGAAACTTTCCAACAGCAAGAACAATATGCCAGTGGAACGGCTTTGCCTTCAGAAGCGGTAGGAGCTTCATCACTGGAGGTTTCTAAGAAGAGTTTGGACGGTCAGTTGCCTGAAATGGTATAGGGTCTCCCGCTTGAGCATGGGGGTGGACTAGAAGACCTTCTGGGTCCCTTTCAGCTCTATTCTGGAATAGACATATTTATATACAAGGCTTGCATATAGGTATATGAGATGAGAGGTGTCTGTACAGAGGTGTACATACTTGTATAATACTGTATATATACAGGTGTATATAGATAGGTAATTTTTGACTTACAACCACAATTGAGCCCAAAATTTCTGTAGTTAAGTGAGACATTTGTTAACTGGGTTTTGTCCCATTTGATGACCTTTCTTGCCACGGCGGTTAAATGAATCAGTGCAGTAGTTCAGTTAGTAACCTGGTCGTTAAGTGAATATGGCTTCCCCATTGACATGGCTTGTCAGGAGGTTGCAAAAGGCGATCCCATGACCCCAGGACACTGCAACTGTCATAAATGTGAACCAGTTGCCAAGCATCTGAATTCTGATCATGTGACCATGGGGATGTTACAAAGGTTGTAGCTTTGAAAAGCAGTCATAACTCACATTTTTCAGTGCTGTTGTAACTTTGAATGGTCACTAAATGAATTGTTGTAAGTTGAGGGCTGTGTGTGTGTGTGTGTGTGTGTGTGTGTGTGTGTGTGTGTACACACTCTCTCACACGCACACACACAGAGCTTTGCTGGCTGAGGAATTCTGGGAGTTGAAGTCCACAAGTCTTAAAGTTGCCAAGTTTGGAGACCCCTGATCTATTAAAAGCAACAGAGTTTGCAAGGGGCAGAAGAGGGGAGAAGAAGGCAGGTGCGGTGAAGAAGAAACAGCAATGCTATCTTAGAGCTGAAGAAGCTTCTTGGATGAGAAGCAAAAGGTCTTCAAAGAAAAACCTGACAGTCCAACTGCCTCTTGAAAAAAAGCACCTTTGGGGACAACCAAGACCTGGATGGCTGAGAATCTCCACAGACAAACCATATGAGATGAACGGTTCCCGGCCGAAGCCGGTGCAACCTCGACCTGCCAACCGAGGGTTCCCCTCCTCCGTAACCACCACTTGAGCAGCAACTTTCTGGCCTCCCCCGCGCCTTGCTCTGGACGGGAAGGTCGGAGAAAAGCAACCGAAGGCACCGAGGAAGGGAGGCTAATCCGTCCCCGGCGCACACGGTGCGCTCCAGGCCTCAGGTCGGAGCTGGCCCTGCTCGGCCCGGAGTGGCTGGAAGCTGCTTCCTGCTCGTGCCGCCGCTGCCACCGCCGCCGCCAAGCGCAAGGCCGGAGAGCGCGCGGTGCCTGGCACCGACCGCCTGGCACCGACCGGCCAGAAGCTGAGGAGACCGACCGACCGACTGACCGGCGGCCCTTGAGCTCCAGTTTCGGGCAGGGTCTGCCTCCCGCCAGCCTCTCTGAGGGGCGAAGGAGGAGCGAAGGCGGGGCGGTCCCGGAGCGCGCAGGGGAAAGAAAGAAAAAAAAAAGAAAAGTTTTGCCCGGAGTTTGTGCAGGCGGTGAAGGCGAGGCCAGACGAGGCGCGGGCACCTTCCAGGATGGACGCCCTCAAATCCGCCGGGAGGGCCATCATCCGCAGCCCCAGCATCGCCAAGCAGAGCTGGGCCAGCGGCCGGCACAAGAGTAAGTTTACCGCCAGGCGGGAGCCACGGAGCCTTTTCGCCCTGCCTCAACCCGGCTCAGCTCGGGGCCTTCGCCGCTCGGAGGGCAAAGCGGGGGGCTCCGCATCGCCGGGCAATAGTAGGGACGGCCGGGGAGGAGATCCTAAGCCTTTTTTTTTTTCCTACAGGGAGGGGTAGGTTAAGCGGAGAAAGACGAGGATGACGGCATTTCGCGGGGAAGGGGTGGGAGGAGAAGGAGGAATAGGGGGGGTTCCCTCTGGCGGCCGGGTATCCCCCTCGGATGGGGACGCGGGGCGGGGGGCGGCGGCGCGCGCGGCCGGGGAATCCCAGCGAAAGTGGAAGCGTAACTTTGTGTCTGCGAACTTTTTGCAAAGGAGCCGGCGGCTCTCCTCGAATTGCAGCCGCCTTCCCCCGCGCGCGGTGTCTGATTTCCCCGGGTCCGGTCGGAAGAGCGCCAGCCCGGAATGGGAGCTTTTTAACTTACAGGAGTCTCCAAACTTGGGCCACTTTAAGACTTGTTGGACTTCAACTCCCAGAATTCTCCAGCCAGCTGTCTTTGAAATGGCCAAGTTTTGGGGACCCTTAGCGCCTTCCGAACAGAGGTGGGGTTTCTCACCCTTTTGCATCTTTTTAAGAGGCGCGGACTACAACTCCCCAAATTCCGTGGGGAATTCTGGGAGTTGAACTCCACACGGCCTTAAAGTTGCTTAAGGTTGCCGAACATTGGCTTCAAGTTCTTAAAACTTTCCAAGTCTCTTTCCTCTCATCATTCCCCTCAAGGTGTTTTGGACTACCGTTCCCAGAATTCCTAGCAAGTGACTGTACTGGCTGGTGATGCTGGGACCGGTAGTCCGAATGTGTTCTGGAGATAAAATGGGTCGTAGGTTTTGTTGCTACCGGGCACGCGTTCTTTCAATCTTCAAAGTCTTTAAAATGGTCTTATAAGCTGAAAAGTCGTAAGAATGCAAAAACCGGAAGTGTCAGAGAACACTTGTCTCCCTCTCGGTTTGCACCCGACATAGTTGCCTATTGCGTGAGTGATGCTGCTGCAATTTCTGTTGTTTGCTTTGTTAAAAATTTCTACTGTAGGATTGTTAAAGCGGGGCTTCATCCTTTTTTTTATTTTTGAGCTCTGATAGGACTGAATACAAATATTAACAAGAGTTCCTTGCCACACTGATTTCTCTGATTGCGTTTGTCTCTGTGGGTTGCACAGGAAATCTAAACCACTCTTTAAAGGTGAGATATCCAAAGCCTCCTTTAGCCAGGATGAGATTAAGTCACCATTAATCCCCTAACAGGCTGGGATTGTACACAGTCCTTACCTGGATTTACTCCATTTTTAACTTCCAGAATCTTGGAATCTGGACTTTTGACAACTAAAGCATAGGCTCACAAATTCCCAGTTGAAAAATAAAAAATTCCGTGGAAGGTGATCCACATGAGTGAGCGTTTGATATTATGAAATCAGACAGAACTTTGTTATCTCGCTGTACCTATTATTCCTAGTTAGCAAATTGAGGTTATCTTTTCATGAGATCCAGCTGACAGTTGGGTGGATGGAACAGCAACAGATATTTCTTTACTGGATTTATATGCCACTCCAGTCAAAAGTGAATCTCAAATGGCTAACATGCTTCCAAATAGTAATAGGATTAAAAACAAAATGCAGCTACAAATGTGCATTATCCAGACACCCGAGAACAACCATAACACATAAATATTCATCCTCCTTGACTGATCAAATGCAACCCACTGAAGGCCCACTGAAGCGGTTGGGATCTGCCTTAATTGTTTTCCCAAAAATTAACAGTGGTGGTCTAACCTGTTATTTGAGGAAGATACTGCTCCAGAGAAGGAGGTATTTATGTTATTTCTTTTTCTGTGGCTTCTTATTATGGGCCGTGCCCTGAACTCCAATGATTGGGCTGATGAATAAGGACAATGAAATAAACAGATGGGAATCCAGACAGCTGTGATCTTCATTCAACTGAATAGATCTAGTTTGAAAAGAGCAGGCTCTGCTGATCAGAATGATGTAATTCGGACTCTTCTATTTATAAAACCACCCAGTGTTGTCCTTCTTCTGATGTATGACAATGTATCATCTTAATATCTAACAAGAGGCGACTTCTTGTGACTCTTGAGGATGCAAGGAATGGACCATTACTCCAAAAATACCCTGCAAATCTGAAGGGGTTATGTGCTAATGATGCAATTTATGGTCTTTTGTGTTGTGAAAATGGATGGAAATAACATGAATAGTCCAGATTTCTTTTGGGGAGAGGGAAGACAATGTTGTTGATAAAAAGGGAAAAGAAGCATGAAATATTTGTCTAATGCAAGGCTATCCAAACTTGACAAGTTTAAGACTTGTAGACTTCAATTCCCAGAATTCCTCAGCCAGGAATTCTGGGAATTAAAAGTTCATAATTCCTCAGCCAGGAATTCCAGGAGTTAAAAGTTCACAAGATTTAAAATTGCCAAGTTTGGAGACCCCTGGTCCATAATTTTCAGAGTCCTCTAGTGGTTTGCTAACTATTAGCGTGTTTTTTTAAGTTTGTTTGTTTTTAGACATGGGATGTAATTATCACCTAAATATTAGGACTCAAATTTCAAACAGTAATATGTAAGTAAGATAACGTAATGGACATTTGGGCAGCCGTGATTCCATCCTCCTGAAAAAGCAAACCCCTTTGAAGGCCATCACCAAGTGGGAACCCCCTGTGCCTGGGGAAAAGGGGGAAGACTATTTGAAAGTAGACACCATGTTTCCTCCCGTTCCATCCCTCAGGTGTCCCTGGCTTTGCAAACCAAACGGGGATTCAAGGCTTTGCCTTTTGCTTAGTCTCAGCTTTTTCACGTCTCATGTCTTCCCAATCGCAGCAACCGGATGCATTGATTCAGACAGACAACAACTACCTTTGGAAAAGTTAATTTTTTTTTTTTCTGAATAAACCTCAAAATAGGAATCATCCTTCCCACCCATCCTTGCATATCTTGTTTTAACATAGCAAGTTATAATTAAGTTTAAGTGAGCAACTCTACTCTGTGTGTCATGTAAACATAGTCTTGAGGACTGTAACTTATTCTTTTTCCTGGACAAAATGATTTAAATGGCCTCCCTCCTCCTCCTCCTCTTTCTTCCCCCTTCTCCTCCTCCTCTCCTCTCTGAGAGAGATGAGCAGTTAAGAGTAGGATAAATAAATAAATAACATTGATCTTCTCTTCCTTGTTTATCTCCCCTTCCTCCTCCCCTTCATTCTCATTCTCTTTATAAAGGAAAATGAGAACCACAAACGACACACTATTTGGGGGGAGGGACTAAATGTTAGCATCATGCACCCTGAGACCCCAGTGCCCCTCCTCCATCATTCATTTATAATTCAGTGTGTCATGCAAATCCAGATAGATGCATTACTTGAATAAGCCAACCATCCCTGAGTTATCCTTGGGTAAAGGTGCCCCAGAGACAGTCTGGGTCAGCAAGGAAGGTTGGTCTGGAGAATTGTTAAATGTTTGGAAAGGTCAGAGCAGCTAATCTAACAGGGCTCTATAAAGTTTTCAAATTGTAGCAGTTGCTGGAGCCAATGGTGAGTCTCAAAATTTGAAAACTTTTACATTTTAGCAGGGTTTTGGAGGCGTGCAAATAATGGCTGACACAATACCTATAAAAATGTAGGTTTGGTTCAGTTTAGGAAGCCTATTTCTATAGGTTATTAACAAAGGCCCTTCTTTCATCACTCCTTATTACCCATCCCCCTCCCACTTGGGACTGTATGATTGTAACTTTGTCGCTTGTATCCTTACGATTTATATTGACTGTTTCCTAGTATGATTTGATTGCTTATTGTACCCTGTGACTATCATTAAATGTTGTACCTTATGATTCTTGACGAATGTATAGTTTCTTTTTATGAGAGCATATGCACCAAGACAAATTCTTTGTGTGTCCAATCACACTTGGCCAATAAAGAATTCTATCACTATCTATCACTATCACTTTGTCATCTGAATTTGTCATCTGAATCCCCCCCCTTTTTTTTCCCTGTAGTGGAGCTCCCAAGAAAGGCTCTGTCCGTCCTCTACAATGTCTTCCTAGACCTAGATTTATTTATTCAATGTATAGAATCATCCATCCAGACTCAAGACTCTGTATGGATTACAGAAAGGACGAATACAATCTTAAAACACATGAAAGCATATAAAATCAATGCAGTACAAACTACTGTCATTCCAGCTGAACAGCTGCTTTTATATTCTGAGAATTGATAGCGTGTCCCGATTGTGCTCTTTTGATTAATTCTGCTTTTGCAATTTGCTGCTTTCACTTACTGCTACGCATTTCACATTTTATCTATTGTTATTTGTAGCTATCCTGATGAATTGCTTGAGTGCTGGGGTTAAAATCATGCCAGCAGTTTTTGTACAGGCCTTTTAAAACAGAGTTGTCTGACTGGCCCTATCTTTTAGCCTATGTCTAAAGAGGGATACTAGAAATGAAATTTTATGGCACAAGTTAGCTGGGGCCAGGTTCCTGAAAGATCATTTCCTCCCATAATTATTTGCCCGGAATGTAAAATAATCTTATGTACCTTTTAGTTGCCAAGTTGGGGGGAAAATCCCTCAAAGGATTGTGTTAAATATACTTGTGACCTGTTTGAAGTACCTGCAGTCCAGGAGTGGATAATCGGTTGCGTGCTGCACTTAGTAAGACTACAAATCCCACAATGTTTCCCCACTGGCTGAGCCTGATGAGGCTACATCCAGAAATCTAGGCGTCACTAGCTGGCTCACATATTTAATCTCTCTATGCCTTTATTATACCCCATATCACTGATGGGAGGGACTTCAGTGAGTTATTAGTACAGTACAAGTGAGATTCAAACTGGAGATTTCCTGATCTTCCTGCTCAGGTTTTTAGTCACCTTGCTGTAATTTATAGTCTTCCTGTCTGGTTTTAAAACATAGCAGTTAATAGTAGAGTCATAAAAGCAAATA